TTACTTAACGTAACGACGCGTCTCTCTCTCTCTCTCTCTCTCTCTCTCTCTCTCTCTCTCTCTCTCTCTGTCTGGACGAAGCGGCCGGTTCAAGATTTCCCCCGGAATTATCCTCGCGAAAAAAAGACACAAGCTCGATCTCTCGAAAATAGAACGAAAAAAAGCGCATGCTTCGAATCGTTCCCTGAGCAGCATTACTCCGAGAACGAGGTTGAATCGAATCCCTAGCGAGGAAAGGAGCATCGCTAGATTGAATCGTTCCATTTTCGAAAGGAGTTTGTTCGTATACTCGCCGTGCATTTTTGAAAATTGCCATTATTTTTACTTGCCATTACTTACTCCCTGCTGTTCCCTCCCCCCCCCTTTTTTTCTCGCGATCATTTTCCTCTGCCCCCTCCTTCGAAGAGAAGAGACAAAGTTCGCGCGTGGAAAGAAGAGGGGAAGGTTCGATTCGGTTTTTCGGGGATTTCGTAGCGCGAAGCAAGTTTCTTTCGGCCAAAGAGATGGACTCGATGGTCGGAGTTTTGCTAGAATTGCTTTCTCGTTTCCCCGCAAGAGGCCGTAGGCGAGCACATGTACCCGCCGGTCTGACGAAATTACCGCCGTCCCAGAAGAACGCGAAACTTCACCTCGACTTCACCCCGAACTTTAAATGTCCCCATCGAATTATGTATTATACGCTGTGGCGCGGAAACGCCGCTGTTCTCTGTTTCCTCCGTTCCTTTTCTTGGCCTTGTTCTTCTTCTTCTTCTTCACGAAATATTTATCTCACGCCACGACGATACGAATCTGAAATATTGATCGGCCGTGATTTTTCGAGAATTTTTTTTTTTAGAAAATTTTCCAAATTTTTTGGATTTTAAAGTAAACATTTTGACGTTTAAGAGTATTTTCTTCCCTTTCGTATTTTATATTTTTTTCCTTGTCTAGATTATCGAGGAAAAATTCGAAATAAAGTTGGTAAAAATTTTGCACGAAGAGGCATAATCACTTAAATGGATCGTCGGTTAAATTTTCAAATACCGGCGACGAACCCTTTCCTCCCCGTTTACCGAATCTGCATAAAAGTCTGGAGGATAAATGGTTTAAAGTCAGGTGGGAATCGTACGTCATTATCAACGAAATTCAGTCAATGATCGCGTCTATTCAAACCCCTTTCCCCTACTACTATTCGATCTCTCTCGATTACCATCATTGACCCCACTTTGAAATTCCGTTTGCAAAGGTATCCTGGGTGAGGCACAGAGATATTCACATTTTAACGGCGGGGGCGTATACCTACACGAGCGATCAGCGATTCCAAGCGCTTCACAGACAAAATACAGGCCAAAATAGCGAGTGGTCTGAATGGACTCTTTGCATAAAATGGGCGCAGGAGAGAGACCAGGGACTCTACGAATGTCAGATCTCAACCATCCCCGTCAAGTCGCATCAATTCCGCTTAAACGTCGTCAGTAAGTCTCCATCATCACGTTATATATATATATATACTCTCTATACAAACAACCGACAAACAACCGAGTTAACACAATTTTTTGTACGAACAAAATCAAACTCGAAAAGAAAAAAAAAATTCGAAGGAAAATTTGTTTGAAAAATTTCTTGAAACTCGCTCGATTCTCTCTATTCTCACGACGCGGAAGAGCGTCGAGTGCCTACCGGTCGTCACCTTGAAACCAACCCCCAACCGCTCACTTTCTCGCGTAACAAACTAACTCCCTTGTTGTGCGTCGATCGTACTCGAAACCGTTTCGCAAATTAACGATCCGAATGTATTATCCGGATCGACCGGCCGCGTTCGAGGGAAGGCTCGTTGAACCTAATTTTGGAGAGCGCGAGAACGAAGCCGGGCCTCGTTATTTCAATCATTCGATGGCCTTGGCTCTCGATGAAGAAAAGTTTCGGTTCGTTAGTTGGCGCGAGATCCGGTAAAGCACTCTCTCGTTCTTCTCGAGAGGTTTCTTCGGCCTCGAACGAAATTTCCCTGCGACCTTTTTCCACGCGCACGTGGATACTTTTGGGAGAGGAAGGAAAGGAGAAAGAAAGTGGTTGTTTTTATCGCAGTACCGACAGCGACGATACTCGGAGGTCCAGATTTGTACGTTGGCGCGGGAAGCACGATAAATTTGACGTGCGCCATACACTTCAGCTCGGAGCCACCAGCTTACATCTTTTGGTACTACAACGACCATGTTTTGAGCTACGACAGTCCCAGGGGCGGTGTCTCGGTGATAACCGAAAAGGGTGGCGACGTCACCACGTCTTGGCTCCTTATCCAGACGGCGCAACCCTCGGACTCCGGGGAGTACAGCTGCAAACCGAGCAACGCCAATACGGCGTCCATCAAAGTTCATGTTCTAAATGGTGAGTGTTTACAACGCGCGTAATCTTACAACGCCGATCATCTCTCGATCATGGATATAACCTTCTCGCTTTGCGAAACGTAGATGGAGTTCAAAAAAAAAGAAGAAAAGAAAAGAGAGAGAGGAAAAATGGAAATAAACACGCGTAATAAGTGGGACAAAATATGAAAGCGTATAACATTCGCGTCCGCAATAACGAATTTTTCCCTCGATCGAATATTTATACCGATTCTCCGTAAAAAAAAAAAAAAGAAAAAAAAAGAAAAAAACAAGAGCAACATTTTTCAAACAAACGGGTGGTTCGACTTTTATAACACGCGGGGTTATTTATGGCCCCGCACATAGGCTCGAGCTACGAGTACGAAATTGCGCGCGATTTTTGCAAGCGAGTCGCTAAGGAAAAAAAAAAAAAAAAAGTGAAACCAAATAATTTCGCCGTTGAAATCATCGTCGACGTTAAGCAAAATTTGTCGTTGAACGAGTTTTACGATCACCGCGGATTAAAATAAAAAAAAAAAAAAAAGAAGAAAAGGATCGTCAAGTTTCGATGACGATATTCGAAATCCCCGCGAAACGGGGGGACGTTTCGTTTTTGCATAAACCGTGCACGCATCCGCTTTACCTCTTAATTTTCTCGTGGAACCTCGTATATATTAATTCGCGCGTTTGTTTCGGTTCGGCTGGCAGCTGGAAAATTTGGCCTCGTATCTCGCGCACCTGTCCTCTCCCAGATTCGAGCCGGCATCTGGGTCCTCTCGCAATCAGCCTATCAGAACTTGGCAATTACGCGGCCGCCAAGTTTTGCATGTTTATTCACCGATCCTCGCCACGGAGCAAACGAGTTTCACTGTGGCGAGAATGTTTGCCTCCCGTACCCTCCCCTCCCTCCTTCTCAACAGGATAGGCCAGGAGAAAATACTTTCGCCTTAACGCGAGTTCGGAAAACAACATTTTTTTTCGGAATTTTCATTAAATCCGTCCTCCTCCCTTTTTAAGTATTTTTAATAAAAACTCGGTTTCGATCGGTCGTAGCTTTCGTTTTTCCTTTTTTCTTTTTTCTTTTCGTCCTCTCTCCTCTTTGTTTTCTCTGTTCGCTCGAAAAATTTTTATTCGGGCGTAAGAGCGAATATTTACTTTGGTCTCGAACGAGATTATTATCGATATTAAAAATTCTTGGTGGAGTCGTAAGTCGATGTCGAGAAGAACGTATGGGGAAGGATGTCTGAGCGCGTATGCAAATGACGAGAGAATTTCGACGGATCGTTGGAAGAAATTTCTGCGGAACGAAATCGAGCGGAAATTGGATCTCGGCAAAAGTGTACAGTTGTATCTTTCCATTAGCATTCGCGCGAGGAGGAGGAAGGAAGCGAGCGAGGAGATAGATTTTTGTTTTTCGAAACTGCGTTGTTGGTCGAAGTATCGTTTGCGAAG